ACTTCGATGCCCAACTTATATATTGATAATTAGCATGAGCACTTGGATCATATTGGACAATTATTTATGAAAATTTCCCCCTAATATGCGTGGAGAATCAAGCATTTCCCATCTGCAATTTATTTTTATATTTTTTTATCACCACCAATTCGTACCTTTATGGGCCTATATTACAAACTAGGTATGCTATTTTTTTATACTCCGTTGAATCTTTAATACCTAGAGGCCCTTATGGGGATCATTTTATTATTTGGTACGTGTTTTGCATAATAATTGAAGATGATTTCATGGCATTAGGGGGAGATATGAGCATAAGTTTATTAATGCCATGAAATATGTGAAATATAAATTAGTTGAAACCACGCAATAAATATTGAACTTGAAGTTCATATTATATTTCTGCCAAGTGAAATCTATAATAATAATGGAGTGGCCAATTTATAAATATATCGATGTACCACAAAGTAAGCAAATTTCCTAGGGAATGATTGACTCCTTAGTGCTAGAAGCATAAGGAGATATAATAAATATATGATGTATGAAAGTCCGCGGAAAATGTATATTCAAGAATTAACACTCCTTTATGAGAAACTCCTGAAGAGTTGATCCAGTACATCTTGCACGTGCATCAAACCATTATAGTACTGGAAATGCGGAACGGCCAAAATTAGATATTATGGGAAATGATTATAAATATGGCTAATAAATAAGAAGTTGCATATATGGTTGAGAGAAAAATATAAGTTGAATATCATAGTTGTCGACAACATACTTGCCTATGTGATTTCTTTACTATCTCATATAATGATTCGGATCAGAATAATGAAAGTGCTAGAAGCACTTAGGCTAATTGAGATAGAAAGAAAAATCGAGGCAGATCTTTCACTCGCTACACGATATATCCCAGGAGGATAGCATATCCCAGAAGGATAATGAATATTTATATGAAACATGTGATGTGGTGGTGTGATGTAAATATAGCGAGATTATGCTCATGGGTTTATGCAAAGACCCAAATGTTTATTTAGATAAGTTCTCTCATTATCAATGATTCCGCAAGTTAATATTTATGGCAGTAT